ACTGCATCGCTTGATGGTCAGCAGTGCTGACGATGCTGGACATTCATTTCGTTCTGGAAAGAATCAGTAGCTCAGCAGTTCCCCAACAGAAGCATTCACGCAGGGCTTAAACCGTTCGAGACGTCAGCCGTGTTTTTTGGAGCATCACCAAACAGTTCCGGATGCTGCCACTTTTAGATCACTGTGAAGTAAATTAGCAACTAGGAGATTCCACAACAAACGCTTACCAAATTGTTCCCATCGGATACGTAAATGAATGCGAAGAGAAGAAATGCCCGGATCATAACTGTTATTGCATTGAATTATGCCTAAAAGCCGCTGTTAGGCTTAATGGTGCAAATCAACATGTCAGGTTTGTGCACAAAGAGAAGAAAAGCAAGACGAAAAGCGCCACCAGGCTTGGGTGCGAAACAGCTTTTGTTTTAGAAAAAAAATCTTGATCGAACTGTACAGCAGCTTAGCAGAATTAAAGTGACTGACGATACTGCATTTAAAGGATTGTTGTGAATATGATTAAACGGGCCATGACTTGATTTAAAACTGTGTACAACTGGCCATATGCGTAATATGGGTAGAGAGAGTCTGTATTATTGACTGTGCGTTAATGGAAGCGTATGATGGTTTTCGATCTGCTGCACAATGCCCTTCGAATAATGTTTAGTCGTTGTCTCCTGCTGCAAAAAGCTTTAAAAGATATTAAAACCTTGTACTATTCATTTTCAGTGAGAGGTTAAAGTAACCCAAGTTGTACCACATTACAAACAGTTTGAAGTATTTCAGTACAGCTGAATTTTCGTATAGAAACGCCGGGCGTATGTAATAGTCCCGGACCGAAGAACTTGGCAAAGCTGCGTTCGGCGTATAGAAACATCCTAGCAATATCATTAACAGGAAATCCAATACTGATAATCCGAGAGGTTTTGGTATTCTTGGTATGTATGTACGGAAATAGGGATCGTGCGTGGTAAATTCATTAGTACAACTAGGCTTGAATAAGGATAACCTTGAACTGTAGTTCTAGCAGCGATAGTCAGCATTTATTACGGTAACTGACTTTGGGATTCATGGCAATTCTTAGGATTTCCCATGATCGCCCTGTTTTCAAGCAATCCTGAAAAAAGAAGCGATCGATAGTCTTGCCAGCAGATAGTTGCAGTTAGCACTTGCTGCTACTCTGACTACTTCCTAGAGTCGTTGCCTTTCATGGGCAGTAGGAGCGAGGGGGAGGGGGGTGGGAGGAGAGCAGTTGACTTTTTTACTTTTTGCATTTACAGAAAATTACGGCTTAGAGATTTGTTGTCCAACAAATTATTTGAGTGCTTTTTTTCACTAGTTGACGGAATTTTTTTAGCAGATTACAGGGGATTGGTTATAATCTCAACAATCCTGTTTTCGAGCAAAAAAATGAGAGGAAAGAGAGAGTGTGGAGAAAATATGGCGTAAAATCCAGCTTCCCCTTCCTAACCCTAGAATAAAAGTAACAGAGCAGAAATCAACTTTGTCCTCTGTAGTATAATTCAGTTCATCCTCATCTTATGATTTTTGAAAACGTTGCTTACTGGGCTAAAGGCTTAAGCTTTTCTCTAATGCAAGCAAATGATCTGAAATTATCACTAAAACTGCGTTTTGTTCTGATTCAAAGCAAATACTGAATATGTGAATTCAGCATAAACATCAGGCCATTATGTTTTTTATGCGTTTTTGCACGTACGCAAATGCAAAAACACATGTTGTGGCGACTCATGGTGTGTGTATGTGTATGTGTGGTCTGTCCAGTTATTTTAACTCGGCAACCAAACAAGCTCCGGCACCAAAATTTTGCCTGCTGGTTCCCCGGCCAAATGCCACTCGGCGCCAAAATGGCTGCGGCATCAACGCTCAAGAATATCTGAGCCCTTGCGTACGAACATGCGTAAGTTATGGCAGGAAAATCGCTAACTCGGGAATCAGGAAAGCTGGGGAAATTTTAAGAGGACGCTTCCAGCTTACGAAGAACTGGTTTGAACTCGTTAAGGCCTACGTGGACGAGGCGCTTCACCCTAAAATTTCAGCTTTCTAGCTTTTCTGGTTCGCGACGGCATTGTCAAGTCCCTCCATCCGTGCGTATTTGTCTTCAGCCGCTCGACGTAGTCTCTTTTACATTCAGATGTAGTTCGTCAAAGCAATTTCAATAGCTAACGCCTTTTCTTTCGTCAGCGACCACGTTTCGTTCATTTTATTATTACTCCAGTGGACAAAGCTGCCAATAATTACGCTTTTACCTGCAAGCGATACTATATTGAAATATTGCTTTCGGAACTAGGAATTAGCAACAACTCATCTGAGCACGATGCTGAAAATGCTACTTATCAAATAGTAACAGAAACTTGTACTAATATTATTATACGACATATTAACATACATAATCGGTTCAACATTACACTAGATGAAAAAAATAAGGTACTTCCTTTCCTTTATGCTATTCCTAAGTTATAAATTTCGTTTCATTACTGCTGCTACTAATTCTAGTATGAAACCGTTAGCACAATTACTTCA